AGGAAAGAAAATTGATTATGATATTCGTTTTTCTGGTGAGCAACTTAAGTTACAGATTAAACAAACTTCTGCAACTATTCAGAAAATTATGAGTGATATAGGTGTTAATGATGCAACTATTCATAAGATTTCGCAAGAGATTGTTAATCTTTCTCAACAAGCAATTCTGACTGGTAAACAAATAGAATCTGCTGAGCTTAATAATATATATCAGTCTATTGTGAATACTTATGCTGATGAATCAGAGAAAGAGAAGATTAACAGTATGAAAGCATCTATATATAATGCTCTTACTTCTTCAACTGCTAAGACTGTTGATAATTTTGCAACTTGGTTGTCAAATTTTACACATAATATTACTCATTCATCAGGTTATAAAAATCCTTTTGATGGTTCATTTGACAGAATCAACCGTAAAGGCGGTTTTCTTAATCAAGAATAATTCTTTTGTATTTTTTTCATAAATAAGTTGTTTTATGTTTTTTAATGTAGGCATGACGTTGTGAAACGTTGTGCCTATTTTTAATCATTCACTTTGTTTTCCATGATGGTTTGAGCAGAGTGGCGAAAGCCTGATAATTTCCGCGTTCGACAACGTAGCGGTTAAACACTTGAACGAATAATGTAGAAGGTTCGCGGTGAACCTCCCGTAAGTGGTATGTATTGTTGTTAATTAGACTTTACAAATACATATCTAAATTATACTTTTATTAACTTATCATACCCCGAATTATATTTATATAATCTTATAATCTTTTTTTTTCATATTTTTGCAATGACAATTTACAATTATACAATTTAATATTATGAACAAAGAACTAGAAAGATTAAAGAATCTCGACTTGCATGTTGATGAATCTCAACTTTTATCTATTCCTCCAGAAACCTTTTTTGTAGCTTACTGGCAAAACTCAAAAGTTTTCGTACAGTTATCTATTCATGATGAAGATACCTATTTGTCGATTATTCATGAATTGCAAACTCAAAAGAAAGGATTTACAACTTTTTACAAATCAAAACATATCTATTCTTCTAACATTGATTGTTCTATCCGAAAAAAGTCTAATCTTCCAAATCTTTAATTTATAATTTTAATTCTAAATTTTATGTCAAATCCTAAAAAACAAATGTGGATAGAGATTCTTAAAATTATTATCTCTGCCCTTGCAGGTGCCTTAAGTGCTATCGGTGTCACAACCTCCTGCACTGTTTACTCAGGTTCAAACGAGGTTTCTACCTCTCCATCAGTCCGAAAACAGTACAACGTATCTGATGGAAAGAAGACTGAATTGTCTAACGATTCCTTAGTTTTTCGAATACGTGACCTTGAAAAGAAAATGAACGAAATTTATTAATTATGTCTTGTCTTACACCCTTACGTCTATATAACAAATCGTTGTTTCTTGATGAGTCCTCATCAAGTGCTTTTCTTGATGTTCCCTGCGGTCATTGTCCTGAATGTAGTAGTAATAAATCTTTGGAATATAAACTAAGAAGTTACTATGAGTGGCAGGACACAATATCTAAAGGTGGATTTGCATATATGGAAACTCTCACTTTTAATAATGTGTCTTTGAATTCAAAGAATCGCAAATTTTACGGTATTTCTTGTTTTAGACGTGAAGACATAAAATACTTTTTCCACAAACTACGACAAAGATGTAAGGGTGTTTGTACGTTCAGGTATTTCCTCGCTGCGGAATATGGAGGACTTCACAGAAGACCACATTATCATGTGATTTTCTATATTGTCCCTTTAGATAAACATTGTAATATTGATAAGTTATTATATCGTTTCCGTTCTTTTGTTCTACAATCATGGACTGAACCTATTTTAGACGATAAAGGTAATCAACTTTATAAAACAAATGCTTTTGGTATCCGTAAGCCTGTCATGAGGTCGCTTGGCTTTATTGATAAATTGAGTAGTTTGTTGAGCCGTAAGATTAACCGCATTGATGGAATGGCATATGTTAGTAAGTATGTCTGTAAGGATGATTTCTTTGTAAAAGAGATTGAAGACAAATTTCAATTTCTCGTTGATAACAGTGTTCATGATGCAGTAGCATACGAGGAACTCAAGGAAAAAAAACGTCTTGCAATGCCGTTTCATTTGCAATCACAAGGTTTTGGTGCATCACTTCTTCCCGAACTTTTAGACAATATAAATAGGTATATAGATTCTCCCTCTGTGTCTAAAATTGCTATCAGTAATAAATCTATTAATTTGCCTTTGTATTACATTCGTAAAATGTTTTTTACCCTCGAGCCGACTGGTTGCTTTAACCCTACTACTGGTAAACCTTGTATGTCATGGATTCCGACGACCCTAGGAGTTGAATATCTTAAGTTACAAAAGGCAAAGCAAATAGAACGATATACTGATAAGTATTATAATGCCTTAGGCAATTTCTTTGTTTATCTTGAGGATGGCAAAGAGCAACGCAGACGTGTGTATAATCTTTTGGGTAATCGTAATCTTGAAGAATATATAATATATAAACTTGTTTTCAAAAATCGTCTTCATGATGGTGTCAATCTTCAAAAATGTACTTGGCAAGAGTTCTTTGCAAAAAGTCTTGTGCAGAAGAACAAAACTTTGGAAAATTACTCATATTCAGAAGATGCCTCTACAAAAGAGTTATTTAGGCAATACTTGCAAGATAATTGCATTAATGATTATTGCAATCCAGCTTGGAAAGACTTTGATACAATCGATAAAATATTTCAACAATATTATACTGCTAAATCTGTCTTCTTGCTCAATGAGGCAAGGTATAAGGCAGAAGTTGAAAGAAAATTAAAACTATTAAAACCTCTTTAATCATGTTGTTAAAATCAGCAATGGAAAATGATTGCGGAGAAGTGTCAAAAGTTTATAACACTATCCCGCCTAAGCCTACTTATCGCATTTTACAAGTTGGCGAGTTCGAAACAAAAACAGAACAAATCGAAGTTAAGGCGGACGATATTCCGTTTGATTATCGTGATTTCTCGCTTAAATCTATTATTGAATCAGGTAACACACAATTACTAAATCCGATAGGTGTTATTCCTGATTCTCATCTTTCTGCACATGATAACGTCAATGCTGCAAGTGATGCAATTGACAATTTTGCAGAACGTAACTATGTTGAACCAACTATTGTTGAACCTAAAGCTGAATAAATATGGCAGATTTCCTCTCAAAAATTCGTATTCCTCGTGCGACAGAGCATTTTACAAAGTTGAATCTCTCTTGCGCCCATGTCACAACTCAAGACCCATTTAAGATTAAACCTATTTATAGCCGTATCATGGTCCCTGGTCAGTCAATTAATGTTGATTTATCGCATACGGTTCGTCTTGCCCCTTTGAAGAAACCTTTCTACGGTCCGATGCAGATTATTAACAGAGCATTTTTTGTGCCTTGTAGAACTATTCAGCAGGGTTGGAACGAGTTTATAACTGACACTACTTATTCAAATAATGTTTTTAGCGGTAAAATCAATAGTTGTCCTCGTATTACTTCAAGAGCCATTCTTGATATTGTTACGCAACCTCAATATGTTACAACTGTTACGGGTTCAGGCGCTAACGATTTAGCCGTAACTATTGATGGTAATACAACACGTTATAAATTCACTGCATTAGGTAAGTATCTTGTTGATGTACTTCGTTGCCTTGGTTATCAGATAGATGCAAACGCTGTTAGAGAATCTGTTGTTCTAAATGCAATGCCACTGCTTGCCTTTATCAAGATTTATGTAGATTGGTTTCGTAATACTAATTTTGCGTTTAATTCAAGTCTTGACCGCTTACTTTGCACATATAATACTACATTTACTAAGGATTCATTCGGAAGTCTTTTGAATGAAGTTCTTTATGCAAGTTACGAAAACGATTATTTTACTTCTTCGTGGTCTAATCCTTCCTCTCCTGATTTTGATATTCAATCAAACGTTACTATTAATGACCCTTCAGTTACTGCTACATCTGAAGGTAACAGAATTATTGTATCTAATCGAGGTTCTTCATCTGTAAATTATTATCGTACCCCTGTCATTGGAGGTGTTGGTTCTTCAGGTGAGGTTACTGGAACTGTGCCACCTTATCAGATTTCAACATATATCTTAACTGCGTTACAGTCACTTAGTGATTATATGCGCAGACACCAAATTAGTGGTTATCGTGCTATTGACCGTTTCCGCTCACGCTTCGGTATCACTCTCCCTGATGCAGCGCTTAATCGTAGTAACTATCTTGGAAAGTCTGTAAGTCCTATTCAGATTACTGATGTAACAAGTACTAGCGATACATCTGGCGCAGTCCTCGGTCAATATTCAGGATTCGGTATTTCTCGTGATGCTAGTGGAAAGTTTAATTTTAAGACTGATGAGTATGGATATTTTATGATTCTTTCTATCATCGTCCCTTTGCGTGCGCAGTATCGTAATGGTGTTGATAGACATCTGCTTGACGTTGATAAGTTGGATTTCTATACTCCTGAATTTGATGGTCTTGGTGTTCAGGCAATCGCAAATATGGAGGTAAAGGGTGATTATGTTGCAACTCCAACTAATGAGCCTTCACCATCTGGCACATGGGCGTTTATCCCTCGTTATGCTCATTATAAGTGTAGTCGAGATTTTCTAACTGGTGATTTCCGATTCCCTACTTCTTCTGCTAACTTGGAATCATTCCATACTTTCCGTGATTTCCAATACTTGCCTGCTCATAACGTTGCTTTCTGTACTGGCAATCCGTCAGAATACGATAAAGTTTTCAATGATTCGCAGATTATGGAAGACCACTTTTTTAGTTCGTTTGTCTTCAACATTCATTCATCTGCCCCTATGTCACCTCTATTCGAAAACTATCATTTCGATGAATCAGGTGCTCCAGTTGAACAGAAAATTGGCGGTACTAAATTAACATAATCAGTTGTCATAATATTATTGTTTGTTGGGTGTGTGTGCTTGACATTTGCACCCATTTTTAGTAACTTTTAATTATAAATTATGGGTGCTTTATTATCCTCACTTGCTGCTCCTTTAATTCAAGCAGGTAGCGGACTCGTTGGAACTGTTGCCAACCTTTTTATGAATAATAAGAATCTTCAGGCACAGAAAGATATTAATCAGCAGAATATTGAATTGGCAAGAGAACAAAACAGATGGAATGAGGAAATGATTGATAAGGCGAATGCTTATAATTCTCCTGAACATCAGAGACAACTTCTTGAAGAAGCTGGTTATAATCCTGCTCTTTTTTCTCCCGAGGGCATGACTATGCAGGCTCCTCAAAGTGCTGACCTTGCTAATCAACAAATGATTCACAATGACCCTGCAGCCCTAAGTGGTTTTAATCAGGGATTAAATCAGTGGCACAATCAGGTTTGGCTTATCTTGAAGCAAAGAAGATTCAAAAGGAAACTGACAAGATTACTTCCGAAATACCTCAGATTCAAGAAATGACCAAACAGATTCAGGCAACTACACATTTAACGGAGGAGCAATCTAAGACTTTTGCAGTCCAGATAGATGAAATGAATCAAAAAATCCGTCAGTCTCAGGAACAAATTATTCTTATGCGTCAGCAAGGAAAGAAAATTGATTATGATATTCGTTTTTCTGGTGAGCAACTTAAGTTACAGATTAAACAAACTTCTGCAACTATTCAGAAAATTATGAGTGATATAGGTGTTAATGATGCAACTATTCATAAGATTTCGCAAGAGATTGTTAATCTTTCTCAACAAGCAATTCTGACTGGTAAACAAATAGAATCTGCTGAGCTTAATAATATATATCAGTCTATTGTGAATACTTATGCTGATGAATCAGAGAAAGAGAAGATTAACAGTATGAAAGCATCTATATATAATGCTCTTACTTCTTCAACTGCTAAGACTGTTGATAATTTTGCAACTTGGTTGTCAAATTTTACACATAATATTACTCATTCATCAGGTTATAAAAATCCTTTTGATGGTTCATTTGACAGAATCAACCGTAAAGGCGGTTTTCTTAATCAAGAATAATTCTTTTGTATTTTTTTCATAAATAAGTTGTTTTATGTTTTTTAATGTAGGCATGACGTTGTGAAACGTTGTGCCTATTTTTAATCATTCACTTTGTTTTCCATGATGGTTTGAGCAGAGTGGCGAAAGCCTGATAATTTCCGCGTTCGACAACGTAGCGGTTAAACACTTGAACGAATAATGTAGAAGGTTCGCGGTGAACCTCCCGTAAGTGGTATGTATTGTTGTTAATTAGACTTTACAAATACATATCTAAATTATACTTTTATTAACTTATCATACCCCGAATTATATTTATATAATCTTATAATCTTTTTTTTTCATATTTTTGCAATGACAATTTACAATTATACAATTTAATATTATGAACAAAGAACTAGAAAGATTAAAGAATCTCGACTTGCATGTTGATGAATCTCAACTTTTATCTATTCCTCCAGAAACCTTTTTTGTAGCTTACTGGCAAAACTCAAAAGTTTTCGTACAGTTATCTATTCATGATGAAGATACCTATTTGTCGATTATTCATGAATTGCAAACTCAAAAGAAAGGATTTACAACTTTTTACAAATCAAAACATATCTATTCTTCTAACATTGATTGTTCTATCCGAAAAAAGTCTAATCTTCCAAATCTTTAATTTATAATTTTAATTCTAAATTTTATGTCAAATCCTAAAAAACAAATGTGGATAGAGATTCTTAAAATTATTATCTCTGCCCTTGCAGGTGCCTTAAGTGCTATCGGTGTCACAACCTCCTGCACTGTTTACTCAGGTTCAAACGAGGTTTCTACCTCTCCATCAGTCCGAAAACAGTACAACGTATCTGATGGAAAGAAGACTGAATTGTCTAACGATTCCTTAGTTTTTCGAATACGTGACCTTGAAAAGAAAATGAACGAAATTTATTAATTATGTCTTGTCTTACACCCTTACGTCTATATAACAAATCGTTGTTTCTTGATGAGTCCTCATCAAGTGCTTTTCTTGATGTTCCCTGCGGTCATTGTCCTGAATGTAGTAGTAATAAATCTTTGGAATATAAACTAAGAAGTTACTATGAGTGGCAGGACACAATATCTAAAGGTGGATTTGCATATATGGAAACTCTCACTTTTAATAATGTGTCTTTGAATTCAAAGAATCGCAAATTTTACGGTATTTCTTGTTTTAGACGTGAAGACATAAAATACTTTTTCCACAAACTACGACAAAGATGTAAGGGTGTTTGTACGTTCAGGTATTTCCTCGCTGCGGAATATGGAGGACTTCACAGAAGACCACATTATCATGTGATTTTCTATATTGTCCCTTTAGATAAACATTGTAATATTGATAAGTTATTATATCGTTTCCGTTCTTTTGTTCTACAATCATGGACTGAACCTATTTTAGACGATAAAGGTAATCAACTTTATAAAACAAATGCTTTTGGTATCCGTAAGCCTGTCATGAGGTCGCTTGGCTTTATTGATAAATTGAGTAGTTTGTTGAGCCGTAAGATTAACCGCATTGATGGAATGGCATATGTTAGTAAGTATGTCTGTAAGGATGATTTCTTTGTAAAAGAGATTGAAGACAAATTTCAATTTCTCGTTGATAACAGTGTTCATGATGCAGTAGCATACGAGGAACTCAAGGAAAAAAAACGTCTTGCAATGCCGTTTCATTTGCAATCACAAGGTTTTGGTGCATCACTTCTTCCCGAACTTTTAGACAATATAAATAGGTATATAGATTCTCCCTCTGTGTCTAAAATTGCTATCAGTAATAAATCTATTAATTTGCCTTTGTATTACATTCGTAAAATGTTTTTTACCCTCGAGCCGACTGGTTGCTTTAACCCTACTACTGGTAAACCTTGTATGTCATGGATTCCGACGACCCTAGGAGTTGAATATCTTAAGTTACAAAAGGCAAAGCAAATAGAACGATATACTGATAAGTATTATAATGCCTTAGGCAATTTCTTTGTTTATCTTGAGGATGGCAAAGAGCAACGCAGACGTGTGTATAATCTTTTGGGTAATCGTAATCTTGAAGAATATATAATATATAAACTTGTTTTCAAAAATCGTCTTCATGATGGTGTCAATCTTCAAAAATGTACTTGGCAAGAGTTCTTTGCAAAAAGTCTTGTGCAGAAGAACAAAACTTTGGAAAATTACTCATATTCAGAAGATGCCTCTACAAAAGAGTTATTTAGGCAATACTTGCAAGATAATTGCATTAATGATTATTGCAATCCAGCTTGGAAAGACTTTGATACAATCGATAAAATATTTCAACAATATTATACTGCTAAATCTGTCTTCTTGCTCAATGAGGCAAGGTATAAGGCAGAAGTTGAAAGAAAATTAAAACTATTAAAACCTCTTTAATCATGTTGTTAAAATCAGCAATGGAAAATGATTGCGGAGAAGTGTCAAAAGTTTATAACACTATCCCGCCTAAGCCTACTTATCGCATTTTACAAGTTGGCGAGTTCGAAACAAAAACAGAACAAATCGAAGTTAAGGCGGACGATATTCCGTTTGATTATCGTGATTTCTCGCTTAAATCTATTATTGAATCAGGTAACACACAATTACTAAATCCGATAGGTGTTATTCCTGATTCTCATCTTTCTGCACATGATAACGTCAATGCTGCAAGTGATGCAATTGACAATTTTGCAGAACGTAACTATGTTGAACCAACTATTGTTGAACCTAAAGCTGAATAAATATGGCAGATTTCCTCTCAAAAATTCGTATTCCTCGTGCGACAGAGCATTTTACAAAGTTGAATCTCTCTTGCGCCCATGTCACAACTCAAGACCCATTTAAGATTAAACCTATTTATAGCCGTATCATGGTCCCTGGTCAGTCAATTAATGTTGATTTATCGCATACGGTTCGTCTTGCCCCTTTGAAGAAACCTTTCTACGGTCCGATGCAGATTATTAACAGAGCATTTTTTGTGCCTTGTAGAACTATTCAGCAGGGTTGGAACGAGTTTATAACTGACACTACTTATTCAAATAATGTTTTTAGCGGTAAAATCAATAGTTGTCCTCGTATTACTTCAAGAGCCATTCTTGATATTGTTACGCAACCTCAATATGTTACAACTGTTACGGGTTCAGGCGCTAACGATTTAGCCGTAACTATTGATGGTAATACAACACGTTATAAATTCACTGCATTAGGTAAGTATCTTGTTGATGTACTTCGTTGCCTTGGTTATCAGATAGATGCAAACGCTGTTAGAGAATCTGTTGTTCTAAATGCAATGCCACTGCTTGCCTTTATCAAGATTTATGTAGATTGGTTTCGTAATACTAATTTTGCGTTTAATTCAAGTCTTGACCGCTTACTTTGCACATATAATACTACATTTACTAAGGATTCATTCGGAAGTCTTTTGAATGAAGTTCTTTATGCAAGTTACGAAAACGATTATTTTACTTCTTCGTGGTCTAATCCTTCCTCTCCTGATTTTGATATTCAATCAAACGTTACTATTAATGACCCTTCAGTTACTGCTACATCTGAAGGTAACAGAATTATTGTATCTAATCGAGGTTCTTCATCTGTAAATTATTATCGTACCCCTGTCATTGGAGGTGTTGGTTCTTCAGGTGAGGTTACTGGAACTGTGCCACCTTATCAGATTTCAACATATATCTTAACTGCGTTACAGTCACTTAGTGATTATATGCGCAGACACCAAATTAGTGGTTATCGTGCTATTGACCGTTTCCGCTCACGCTTCGGTATCACTCTCCCTGATGCAGCGCTTAATCGTAGTAACTATCTTGGAAAGTCTGTAAGTCCTATTCAGATTACTGATGTAACAAGTACTAGCGATACATCTGGCGCAGTCCTCGGTCAATATTCAGGATTCGGTATTTCTCGTGATGCTAGTGGAAAGTTTAATTTTAAGACTGATGAGTATGGATATTTTATGATTCTTTCTATCATCGTCCCTTTGCGTGCGCAGTATCGTAATGGTGTTGATAGACATCTGCTTGACGTTGATAAGTTGGATTTCTATACTCCTGAATTTGATGGTCTTGGTGTTCAGGCAATCGCAAATATGGAGGTAAAGGGTGATTATGTTGCAACTCCAACTAATGAGCCTTCACCATCTGGCACATGGGCGTTTATCCCTCGTTATGCTCATTATAAGTGTAGTCGAGATTTTCTAACTGGTGATTTCCGATTCCCTACTTCTTCTGCTAACTTGGAATCATTCCATACTTTCCGTGATTTCCAATACTTGCCTGCTCATAACGTTGCTTTCTGTACTGGCAATCCGTCAGAATACGATAAAGTTTTCAATGATTCGCAGATTATGGAAGACCACTTTTTTAGTTCGTTTGTCTTCAACATTCATTCATCTGCCCCTATGTCACCTCTATTCGAAAACTATCATTTCGATGAATCAGGTGCTCCAGTTGAACAGAAAATTGGCGGTACTAAATTAACATAATCAGTTGTCATAATATTATTGTTTGTTGGGTGTGTGTGCTTGACATTTGCACCCATTTTTAGTAACTTTTAATTATAAATTATGGGTGCTTTATTATCCTCACTTGCTGCTCCTTTAATTCAAGCAGGTAGCGGACTCGTTGGAACTGTTGCCAACCTTTTTATGAATAATAAGAATCTTCAGGCACAGAAAGATATTAATCAGCAGAATATTGAATTGGCAAGAGAACAAAACAGATGGAATGAGGAAATGATTGATAAGGCGAATGCTTATAATTCTCCTGAACATCAGAGACAACTTCTTGAAGAAGCTGGTTATAATCCTGCTCTTTTTTCTCCCGAGGGCATGACTATGCAGGCTCCTCAAAGTGCTGACCTTGCTAATCAACAAATGATTCACAATGACCCTGCAGCCCTAAGTGGTTTTAATCAGGGATTAAATCAGTTGGCACAAT